GTAATATAGAAGAACAATAGAATTTAATTGGGAATAATAAATAACAAGAAGTGGATGCACCTGCGCCAACCAGTGAGAACGATGTCGAGCCATATCATCAATTGTCTCCAGCCATTGGTTTTACCATCCCAAGGACCCCAAACAGGAAGTCGACACCTACCTACGTGGCTTAAACTGACTGTTGTGGATTTCATTGACTGATGAAGCCATGTTTTGGTTTGACCAACACTACCTAGCTCTTTTCTAGCCTGACCCTATGTCAGCCAACATTGCTCCTCTAGGAAGGCGATGACTAGGCATACGTAACACATGTCCTAACCATCTCCATAGATGTAACTTCACAGCCTCGTCGATTGATTTCCCCTCCTTACCTAGCACTCGACCGATGCCTAATCTCAATATTGCTCACCGTATTATACCCCCTAACAGGGAAGATAGAACGCAGGCACCTATGATCAAGGGCAGCTAGCCTTCTCATGTCTTCCACTTTCAATGACCAGGTTTCACAGCCATAAAGGAGGACAGGACGGACTGCTGAGCAGTACACCCGACCTTTGGTCGACAGCCTGCCTGATATCACGTCTACGCCAGAGACGGCGTAAACTGACATATGCGAAACGAGCCTTCTGTATCCGTGCTGAGATTTAGTCAGCGATCAACCCGCTGGCACCGGCTGATGCAACTTCCTAAATAAGTGAAGTGGTCAACACGCTCCACCAACCACTTCACTCCCTATCTTTAAGCTAGGAGTCGATGTAATCCAGTCCTATAGCATCATCTTACATTTGGCAGGAGCGTATCGCATGCCAAACATTCGCAGATTGCTAGTCAAGGTGTACAGAAATCTCTGTATTTTGTCACCATCCTCACCTAGAAGGAATGTATCATCTGTATATTCTAAGCCAACGAGATTATTCCCTGGTAACAAGCTGATCCCTGAGTTTCTGAAGTTAGTTAGAGTTAATTCCATTAGTACATCTGTGATGAAATTAAAGATATTAAAGGAACAAACGTTTTCAGCAAATGTTTTGATGTATTAACCAAATGATCTAAAAGTAGACGTTACCAATGTAATGTAAATCTGTGGTTAACACCAGTGTGAAGCTACCATTGTAAGACAGAGAATTTCAGAAAAATAAACTAAAAAAACTCACTTATTACTATAGCTACAGTTATAAGTGGACGTTCTGAAAAAGACTACTGCAGACTTTCATCAATACCTGCCTACACTACATCGATACAGAAGATCAAATGCCGCCGCAAAAGGATTAGCAACAAGGAACATTTTTAGCAGTGAATCATTGAAGAACATATCACCCAACAAATATGCAGAAGGAATTGGACACTGATAAGGCATACATTGAGGCGGTTGTTAAGTGATATCACATTTCAGGAAAGTGAATGGAAAAATGTGACTTGAGCATCTGGAGTGATATGAAGAAAAATCATATAAGGAGGAAGTGAAAGCCTGTGGGCAACCAGTTAAATCAGTTGAAGATGACAACAGTGAACAGATAAAAATATAGATATGCTGCTGACGCTCTGTGTTCCCTTCAAAACTCAGAGTTGAATAATAATCATAATAATAACTAATTAATACTGACACAAATTTCCATTGTTACTTAGAGAAAACTTGGCTAGGCTTTAATGTTTTCAGGAAAAGAATGTAGTAGTGACTAAGATAGTTAGGACATGTATTACGTATGCACTAGCCATCGCCTTCCTCGACAGTGGGCAATGTTAGCTGACATAGGATGGATCAGGTTGGAAAAGAGCTGGCTAGTGGTGGTCAAACGAAAACGCCTTCATCAGTCAATGAAATCCACAATAGTTAGTTTAAGCCAGTCACGTAGGGAGTTGTCGACTTACTGGTTGGGGTCTTCGGGACGGTAAAAACCAATGAAGGCTAGAGACAATCGGTGATATGGTTCAAAATCGTCGTTCTCAATGGCTAACGCAGATGCATCCACTCTTTGTGACTTATAATATCCAATAAAACTACATTGTTCTTCTATTTTACTATTTTTTTCGCCTCATATTTCTGTTTATTATGTCTCTTTTGAATCTTTCTCTACTCTCTTTTCTTGTTTTGTGTGCTACATGGAGTGTGGCAACTCGAACTACTCCACATAAGTCCAAAGTTCTACGTTGAAACCAGTCAGTGATGTAATGGCGAGATGAACAACAACAAACATTTTCCATGTAGGTTTTGGCTTTGAAATGCTGATTTAGCCATTTGTACTTCATTAAACTATAAAAGGTTGACTTCGGAAACTCGTTTTTAATTAGCATTGGTTCCAACTACAGTTTACACACTATGATACAGACGATCAGGTTCTAACGCCGAATAACATTTTAGCGTAAAAGCTGCACATAGTTAAAATAAATAATTAATTCTAAGACTTTATGAAGTCGGGTTTCTTAGATAACTAACAAGTGTTTAAATAATTCCATATATATATATATATATATATAAGAAGGCAATTCAATGAACAACGCAGTGGATAAAGAGGTGAAAAGTGCTAAGAAAGACAAAAGATAATACCACGACACATTGGAATCTGAAGCAGAGCAGGCTGCAGGCAAAAGATACTTCAGAACACTATACCAGATAACCATGTAGCTATTGGAGAAGAGATCAGCGCAGATGAAACCAATGAAAGATAGTCAAGCAAACCTAATTATCAAAGAGGCGAAGCAAAGAAAACAATGGGCTGATCACTTCAAAGGGCTCCCATCACTTGCAACTCATCCAGAAATACTACCAACAGACACAACTGCCAGTGGATACTAATCCTCCAAAAAAACAGAAGTAAATTCAAGCTACTGAAGGCCGGGGAGGGCAGCAGGACCAGATGAAATTACTCTTGAAGCAATGAAAACCGATCCAGAGACCGCAATGGATATGTTTACGCCACTATTGTGAAAGGTTTGGAAAGAAGGGAAGGTATTTGTGGAGTGGAAGAAAGCACACTTTGTCAAACTGTTTAAGAAGGGAGACTTCGGCTACTGCAAGATATAGCGCCGAATCATGTTCTTGTCTACGCCAAGTGAAATACTAAGTCGCGTCATCCTGGGGGGACTAAAGGAGGCTCTGGATCGTGTGAGCAGCAGATGAGAGCTTATGGGCAACCTTCAAGCCAGATGAAGAGGACTGAGGAGAACAGGAGAAAATGGAGATGTTATGTGGAAGTCCTATGTTCGGCTTGGAACCCAAGGGTATATATATATATATACATTACAAGTAATAATGGGGAATTTAGTAAATAGGTGTGGTATTAAAGTATAAAAAACGTCGACATAAGATTACATTTACAACAATAAGGGCATATTAACCTGCAAAAATAGAAAATACAACGATTGACGATATTCAACATACGTAATAAAGTAAAATCACCACATAAATCTCTGATGAACACCAGGTGTGTTTGACCATTCAAAGGGCTTGTAAATAAAAAGATATGCTGTCACCAAAGTAATTGAAAAATTGTACAAAATTTCAAAGTATAAATACCTACTATCCGCATAGTATAAAGAGAAAATACGCCAAAAAATAAACGGGATCAAAAAGTAACGCAGTTCGAATAACCCTGAAGAAATCACAACGACAAATATACAAATCAATAGGGCCAAACGTACCACAAAGAAGTCAAATAGTACATGTCGATTAGAATGAAACAAAGCTTTTAAAAAGTAAGTAGTTGTGACGAGGTAGACAACGGATAAAGCGTAATACACTAGAGGAGAATAATTTATAATTCTGCGCCAGATATAAAATGTATAGTGTCTGTTATCGGAAATTAAATAAGGATGAACAAAGAATGCATATTTCAGAAATATTATAATAATAAGTATGAAGAGTAATGATATCAGTAATAGTATCATTAGAGACTTCCAACGGCGTTTGGCACACTTATTCCACAGCAATTTAAAGTTAGTGACAATGAATTTAACAAACTGAAAAGGGGTGGAAAATGCACAAAAAGTGACAAAGTAGAAAAACTGAGGAATGTTTAGAACTGCCTTATGAGCTTCTCTATCACCCAAAACAATACCTCCATTCATGATGACAAAGATTAAAAACGAAATCAAAACTAAAACATAGGGCATACAAAAACGGAAGATGTTTTCGAATACTATGTGTGCGACAGATAGCGGATGTGAAATAATCATATTCAAAAGCTTTTTTATCCAAACGCTAGGTGGAAGTCGTTCATTTCCAAACAAATCTCTTGATAATTTTACAGAAGCAGATATACACATGAGTAAAAGAACCCAAACGATATTAGACTGCCGTGTGAAAATAGAATATGACAGGAAGAGCGCACTTAACCACGGTTTCCTCTGGAAACCAAGCCAAACAGACGCAAGTACAAAGAATAGAGAGCAATGGTCAGTATAGTATAAGGTAGAAAAGAAGAAAAGAATTGGTTCCGATATAAGAGAAAGAGCAAAAACACTAGGGAATGGGTTTTTTGTTGCTCGGAGTAACTTCAGTATTACTAAATGATTACAAAGACTAAAAACTACGTTTGAAGTTCGGAAATGCAATATGGTAAGTTTGGATGGGGCTATGTTTAACCAGCTCAAAATTCTGAAGACAGATACAAATATCAAATAGAGGCCAGGGGGAGTAGTGATCTTGTTATCCCAATGCTTCCAGTCCCCTTCAATATATCTCAATGTCTGACGTACATGAAAAACCTCATCCATATAAGGCTCACTCTGATGCTTTGAAAACGTATAGGCTAAATAGAATGACAAGATGAAAGTGAAAACACTAGTGGACAAAGAGATCCAGAAATTTCTGCTCATGTTTTACAGCTCATTGACAAATCGATCGCTTGATTCTTTTTTCAAAACTGAAGAATTTTATCTACCAAAGGTCAAAAGAGTATCTTTGAAAACGGTTTCCTTCGCCTGTACCACAATAATTAAGACTAAAGACATAAAAACTAGCAGCAAGAACCAAAGCAGTACGACAACTACGAACCACTCACGTAATGCGTGGAAGGTCAAAATTCGACCTCAAGTGAGGATTACAAAGTCCAATACGTTATTACTGGGACTGTTTTCTTAGAAGTTGATACCAACACAAGGTTCTGATTACTTTTTGGATTCAAATGCAGTACATTCTAAACGATAGTCCTAATATCATGTTTCATCACACCAGTAAGAATGCCATGTTTTTCACACCAATTAATTTGTTCATATGGACTTATATCAGTTGGCTTTTCTGAGTAATCAGTGGGAGACAATAAATTTGACTTCTTTTGAAGTCGCACGCTAAGTCATCCAACAGTTTGTTGCACTGGGAGGCATCTACTCTTTGACAAAATTCCCTTCTCATACGTCATCGAGAACTGTCATAGAGCGAATCCAGTAGGGTGCCCTGGTAGCGCTCTTACATTAACTGTAGCAGTATCCCTATAAAATTAGTTAACGTTACTACACTATGGTTTTATAAAAACTAATTTTACATAGTCTTCTCGAATATCACTGTTTTATTGAACACTGGTTTTCATTTGTTGCACAATTATCTCGCTCGTTTACACACTTCTACATTCCCTCATGCTCTTCGAAACTTGGTTTCTTTAACGAAAAATCTTTTCAAGTCTTAACTTGTGCTTCTTAATACAAGGTTGTTCGTATTTGGCCGTGTATAGCGTTAGCACATTGTCAGTGTATTTTAAGAATGAACTATCGATTCATAGTTGTTTACTCAAAACTAACTCCATATTTTGGCGGGAGCCCCCGATACTGCAGCCATCGTTCCATCTTACGCTGTTCGTTAGAAGACGGAGAAATACTATCAGAATTATTATTTTGATCAATTCTTATGACATCTATTCTTAGACTTTGTGTATAATAACAATATCTTTATCGCAAGAATAAAGGATTCTTGAGTCACCAATCTGTGTTCTGTTTTTTCGCGTTGGTTATTGCACATTGCTGCTGAAGGTCTTGTAAGGACAGTGTTAAGTCCAGTGTAGTTAGACCTGGACATTGACACAGATCGTAGAAGTTAAAAACGTGGATGTACTATAGTATTGTAATCTGAATCATATTTGGTACCCCATACCGGTACAGAAACCACTCTCACCATTTGGGATAAAATAGCGGTTTGCGAACAATGAAGCAGCGCCATATTCTTCCGCACAAAATATTCCTTTCGCTGTATTCAAATGCATAAATGAGGAGTGAGAAATAAGGGTGTGAACTTCGATTATCCACCATAATAAATCATTCCCATTTCTGCAACAATTGAGGGTATGAGGGTCATGACCTCTCATCTGTCCGTCAAATGGCCCACACTTTAACCAGGTAGTGTATTTTGTCATCCTTATTTTGGTGTTCTCCACATATAGATCAATCTTTTAAGGCCGTGGCTTAGTTATATAACAGCTATCAATATAAGGCAAGGTGTATCTAGTGTAGCTCTGTGTAGTGCTACTGAGTTTGTGCACTCATCTGCATGACTACACGGTGGACTGTTGTAACGGTCAAGGTTAATCTTCTGGCAACTTAATGCTTGCGTCCAGTCCTCAAATGGGAAGTAACTGCTAAAAATATGGTAAAGAAATCCTTGTATGGAATAATCATTGAGGTTGGATGTCTGATTATCGTTAGCAGTCTACTTACCATAATTAGGACGTCCTGTAAAATGATCCCTACTGTTGCATGATTATGTACCTGTAACTCCTGTAAGCTATGCAGGCTTTGTGAAGTAAATGTCTCCATTTTTGTCTGGCTTTTTTCAACTTTTCGATATATCCCCCCATATAATTTCGATCAAGTGGTTCCTTCCTTATCATTTTACGGACACTATCTGCTGATCCCTCCATAGACAGCGGGATACGTCTACTCCCATTTGCCAGCTACTATCAGAGGTACAAACAATCTTATATCAGTCAATCCATGGATTCACCGAATCGGTACCGGAGACTATATTTTCCTCGAGTTAGTCGTTCTCTTATGACAAGAGCAGGATTCTTCTGCAAATGGAGATCTAACTCACACACATGCTATCAGTAGGCGATCATAATTTAAGACATAGTCCATATACGATGATTTAAGCATTTGTCTTTTCTGATATGCTCCTAGAGCCCAGTCCTCCTTTTAATGTTTGAATAAACACACGCTGAGGCACTTGCAAATATGACGGCGCTGCGTGGAGGCATGAAAAATGGGATTCAAAAACACCCAGCAACAGCATGCTATGGATGACATTTTGGGTCACTTGGACAAATAGTAGATATGATGCATTTCATTCCAGGCGCGTAATACGGAGTATTTACGTGAGTTTACTGGCCACTTTCAGAAGTAGGGTGATGTCTGCTATGGATTAACGTGAAATCTGCGGTGGTGATTTGTACAGCAGTAGGTATGGAATAATGAAATGGTTCGAGGTTTGGTTTCATGATAAATTCAGTATTTCATATCGATGATTCTCAACGAATCACTAGCTACGTATGTGAGAGTGAACAGCCAAACCATAGAAGCAATTATCATGTATAAATGTCCGGGTTGGTTTATCTTGCACCACAGTTAGTAATAGGATTCTTTTTTTGGTTTTGCATTCAAGGTTGATAGCCCAAAGTACTTTTAGGCGCTTAGTAGTTTAAAAAATTTCGGAGGTTCGGAGAAGCGAAGGAAAGGAAATCTATCCTAATACTCTCTTCATAACATCATTAATAAATACACCCTTGAATAACCGTAACTGTTATGTTATCGCTTCACCAGTTGCGGCGGCATAAACAGCAGTCTGGCCACCAGGTTACGTGGGCCAGGCCAAAGCGTCAGAAGGTTGCGTGGCCACAGCTCAGGTCTGGCAGGATCAGTGACCACATAAGAATCATGAGCATTATCTCAAGCTGAAGCCAGCTGGAAACGAGCTCGAAGTTGCCCAGGCAGCCTAACTGGCTGGCTTCTTCAATTACTCATGATTCTGATATTCATTAAGTGTATGATTGTATGAACATTTTAAAAAAGCTAGGCATCTGGTGTTTCTTACTTAGAGGTGATAATTTTTCATTTACAAGATCTTCAGCTATCTGAAGACACTCAAACGTTTTCAGTTTAAGATAAAAATCATGTGATATTGGCTCAATGCCACCTATGTTGAACATATAACAGGAGTACACACTGGAATTTGGTGTTAGAACTGTGCGTCTGGCAAAATTATATGCAGTGAGAGCAAAATACAGAAGCCTTATGTCAGAGTCTAAATTTGCAGAAGTCACCCTCATTCCGCTTCTTTTGTCCTCTTTCTATGCTTCCTATGTGCTATCACAAAAATTTTCATTTCCCTTCGCTACCTAATTTACCGTTCTGCTATTCAGAAGGCATAGCACAGTATACTACTAGTTAATTTGTGCCAGTGGCATCCAATTTGAACATCTGCTTAAGGTAGTATGGTTCAAACATTTTATGGATAATAATAGCCCTCTCATGTAGAAGTGAATGTACCTACACATTGGGAATTTCTATCACACATTATTGAGAAAGGTAACTTTCAGGATATCGTCAACATCAATCAAGCTTTCCAAATCAAAAAGGGTTTGAAATATGACCACTTGGTTCTTATACATAAGTTCAACTATAGTCTGTCACTGCGATATAATACTATGATTACCCGTCCTATCTGGTAAGTGCAGACCCATAGTACCTGATTTTTAATCACACAACTTTCATCCAGTCATACATTCTCCTACAACTTGTGGTCGACGCCCGGAGTGCTGGGTGTTCATGTTTCTAACCATCACAATCCCTGAAATGCTCTAATCAATCATCCAGATGTGCCTATTTTCCTGTTTGATGGGCTTAATGAGCTACTCTTTGTAAATAAGCCAGGGAAGAATGTGTATTGTTGGCATCTACTTTCATTTCAAGACATAATTAAGCTGTTCCCATCGCCAATTTCCCTTTCAGAATTCTGGAGTTTTATCAATGACTGTTACCTGTTCCTTCGTAAGTGCGACGCTCGCTCTTTAATTTCAGGACTTTCGGCCATCGAAGAATGAGGATCCTGGTAGTTTTCAAGGAATTACTTCAATGAATTATTAATGGCCTCTGGTTCTGCGTGTGGTCATAAAGTGAATTACACATGATTTTTCTGGCCAAATCCTCGATAGAAAGTCAGCCTTTATTGAACAATCGTCGGTGGCACAGTGGTTAGGACGCTCGCCGACCATGAACATGGTCCAGGGTTCGATCCCCTGCCGACGCACAACTGATATTTATGGTCGGCCTGCAAAATTTGGGTTACCGATATCACATGCTGAAAATTCCATACCTGTACCAGAAAATGCGGTGTGGAATCAAGCCGTAATCAAAAAAATTGTCAGCGTTGCTAATCAGTAGTGCGGATTGAGTAAGGAGGCTAGTTATTCTTGTACGTGCACTTCGTAAGCGCACTGGTGCACAAGTGGAGCGCAGACACCTAGTTGAACACATCAGAAAGCGTTCACCATTCAGCACCTTCAAGTACAGGAAGTCTCGTGAAGAATAAAACGAGCATAGTTTAGTAAGTTGCATGCATCAGCCTTCTGTATTCCTTTATCATTAAACGCCCAACAAATGACCATAGTGTTTGCAGTGTGTCTTGTGGCGTGTAAAGGCCTCAGAAGCCGACAAACGCGAATTTAACTGCCACTGCGTATTCTCGAGGCTACAGCCTCCAATAGCAGCAGCTTACTGCTTCATTTGGTCGTTACTTCTGAAAAAATTCTTCAGTTATATCCTTTTTCATCCGATGTCTAGCTTCAGTTTTTGGGTCAATTTGATAGCATGACACTGCCAATCTCAAATATCGCAGAAAACCGTTCTGACATTAATCAGGTTAAGTCTTTACTGAAAGTGACTCAAAACAAGCTTGCGGATTCGGACCCAAAAGCCTGTCTTTTAAAAAATCCTAAAATTTCTCCATACGACCCAAATAAAGCAGAAAATCACAATGACTTCTAGGCTGCCAAAGTGGTGAAGCGTAAAGCCTCTTCTCATCAGGCTATGGTTTACAATAT